TGCCACAAGCGAGCGCGCATGACAATCCCCTAAAAGTCACTGTCACCTCTTAGACAGTGGAGTTGCACACACGGACTGCGAGGACACCGCAAGTCCGCTCCCCGACTGCCGGGCTAGCCCCGACGTGGGACAGCAGCGCGCTGGAGATCAACAACTAGCGGCAACAACCACCCGAGAAAGTAACGCCGGGTTTTGTACATAATAAACACTACTCCGGGCGGGTGCCACAGTTACGTCCTTCTTATTATGTTCTGCTTTGGGGATTCAACAGGGCGTAATTAGACAGTGAGACACGTCAGATGTTTCCGTTACAACACTTACAGTCGCACCTGAATACGAAAATAATAATAAAACAAAGTTATACAACTATAGTTAAATGGCAGACCTTATGAGATTACCTTTTTACTCCTCGGCATCGATGATGGCTCCCTGTCCTCCTGCAAGTTGGAAAGAATGAGTAATGGGTTTGAGATCACAACCAAAGGAAGGTAGAACATGGCTTAAACAATCCTGTTGTTCACTGTCAAGTTTCTGTCTGTCTGTGCGTGAACTCACCGGCGGAATTGGAAATTGAACAACTCGACTGGAGGCCTAGAAGGGAGGACTTGTTAGTGCCAAAGACAAATGGACCTACCAGTGGCAGACGCAGCCATAGTTTGTCACTATTTTCCAGCCGGATGAAGACACTCTCATCTTTGGCTGCCGGCCTGTGCGTACCTGTCTTCAATTCAATGCCTCCGTTGTGATAAATTGCTTGTTGGGGCTTGTAGGAACTCCGAGTGGACCTCACGTAGGGCTCTTGCAGATTAAGAACCTGAATAGAATTAGGTCAGGAGTGCCAATAACATGCGGTTATTATAATGGGACCTGCGATATCACCAGATGAGTAACATGAAAAAACTAGCAAATGACTTTTAATTAATGGAAAGGCAATCAATGATGTGATTCCACGCTAAAAAAAGTCAAGATAAGCCGAATCCAACCCCCGAATATGAAAAAATGGACTCCGTATACCGTTTAGTGAAGAACAACAACAGTAGAGCAAGATGTTTGCTAGAAAGAATAGTAATTTAAACCGGGTGAAGGGTCGCGGGTAACATTGGCACAACAACTTAAACAAAAAGCGATAAATGCACTTTACAGAAGTACGTTACCAATAGGATTAGTCTAGAAAGTTGTGTGCAAATAAACGTACAACAAAGTTGTGAATAAAATCAAGTATGGCAAAGAGCTACTATCGCAGACTCACGGCAGTGCTATCACCACCAGATAGAAACCTAATGCAAGTTTTCAAGTCAGCTAGATTATTGCTCATCACCTCTTGGTGCGTATTCGAACGGGCAAAAAATACCCCCCAATGGGATATTTTTCAGGCAGCTTACCAAACAAAAATCTCGACGAATTTGTGCCGAATCCAATACCCCCGAATGGTACAAATCGATGAGTACCCCGTCTAGTGAAAGACAACAACAGTAGGAGCAAGATGTCTGCTATTGGGAATCGTAATTTAAACCAATTGAAGGGTAGCCGGTAACATTTGCAAACCAACTTAAACAAAAGGCGATAAACGCGAGTCACAGAAATACGTAACGAATAGAAGTAGTTTGGAAAGTTGTATGCAAATTTACCTACGACAAAGTTGTGAATAAACGCAAGTATGGCAAAGGGCTACCACCGACTCACGGCAGTGCTATCACCACCAGATAGAAACTTAATGCAAGTTTTCAAGCCTCAAATTGTCAGCTAGGTAATTGTTCGTCGCTTCTTTGGGCGTATTCGAACGGACAAAAATGTTCCCAATGGGATACTTTCAGGCAACTAACCAAGCAGAAATCTCGATGAATTTATGCAGGCCCGTGGTGCCGTTGTAGAGTGGTAAACTCAGTGACCAAAGGTCCTGGGTTCGAATCTCGGGGTTTCGACCCCTGAGGTTGGGTATGACCGGCTAATGACGGCTAACAAGCCAGAAATGGCCAGGCCGGTCTCTCTTGTCTAGTTCGGATCCACTCCGTCATGTATGAGGTTGATAAGCGACAGCCTGATATCGCTCGAGTTACAGCCTCGAGGCACCTCCTGGACAGGTGTGTGTCTTAACCCCAGTTCCGTCATATTTACGATTACAACCGACAACGTAACGATCCCGCGGTGCCGAGGTAGAGTATTAAACTCAATGACCAAAGGTCCCGGGTGCGAATCTCGGTGTCTCGACCCCTGAGATTGGGTATGAACGGCTGATGACGGCTAACAAGCCAGAAATGGCCATTTCAGTCTCCCTTTGCTTTGTCAGATCCATTTTAGGTCCGGCTGTATTTAAAGGAATACGCCCGAGCGATAATAAACGGTTAATGGGCTAAATGAAAATGTCAGCTAGCGCCAGACATAGTAGATCATTTTACACACACGAGCATCCACTGTCATCCAGTATCTGTACGGGAGGCTGTTTAGCCAACACTGTCTGGGCCACGTGTGGGCTATGACCAGATGGTATACGTTGGGGATTTATTGGCACACTGGCCCACGCGGTGAGAGCAGGGATCGACGCCACCGCCCCTATCATCTTGCTGTTGTGCTAACATCCCGGCCGAAAGGGGAGTTCTACAAGGGTCAGTCCTTGGGCCGCTCCTTCTCATCCTCTACGTTCAGTTCAGTTCAGTTTTATTAGGGAAATATATGTAAATACCTTTGAACTCCCTCTTTTTACATACAATAGATTGCATATCTGATGCAAGGTTGGGGGCTGGAGGATTTAACGCACACTTGAGGTTGTTTAGTTAGTTCATTGGGTTGAA